ACTCGACCCGAATTCGGTCGATTAGCCTGACTCTACTGGCCCATGGGGATTTCTGCGACCTCGGGTGGCTAGCATTAATTCTGCCCACCCGGAGCCGGTCACCAGATCTAGTCTTAGTGTTAGGTAGCGTAAACACGGCCTCGCGGCCTTCCGAGCGACATGAAGCTATTGAGAGAACCTAGCACACCTCTGTGATTGGCCCAAAATAGATCATAGATGATGTTTTGCTGCCATCTATTTTTTGTGTTGTAAGCGGGTGCTCTGCTGTGGTTTGCTCCTTGTTACCTATCAAACGTTTATCATCCTTACCTCTCCTCCGTCTTTCCAAGCAATCATCTATCGTCCTTATCGCCCCCCCTGTCCTATCAAACATCTATCGTTCTTCTCCCTCCTTCTTTCCTATCAAACGTCTATAAATAATAATTGCTCTTATCTCTCCTCATTTTTTCCATCAAACATTTACCATCCCTGTCTCTCCTCCTTCTCTCCTATCACACATCTATTGTCCTTATCTCCCCTCCTTCTTTCCTGCCAAACATCTATCGTCTTTATCTCCTCTTCTTCTCAGTGGCGGTGGGTAGTGAAGGGCTTACGGGCTTGAGCCCCTCGCCCCCACCCCTTCCCCACTCCAACTCTATCCCTTAGTTAATGAAAGTTTCTTAAATAACGAAATAAGCAGTTGAAACCGTTATGATTGCACGCAATGAACACACAGTTATCAGCCTGGCGGCTTGCCCGTTTATCCAATCATTGTTGTCACCGCTTACAACTATAGTAACCTAACAGCCAATCAAATGTTGTTAGGGCTCAGAAAGGATAAGCCGGTTCTCACGCCTGTCTTTAATGAAACTCTTCTTGTAAAAAGGTAGAAGACTTTAAAAACATAACACTGCACAGAGGGCTCACGCTCTCCCAGCCCTGACAATGGGGTGAAAGTTTACGACACACTTTCCCCCAGTGACACAGATACCTATACGCCCATTGGGCCTTTGTTAGGCGCGTTCTATTTTCCGCAACAACACGACCCAATCCACCTCATAGACGGTATGTGTTTGGAGTGCTGTGTGTTTGTGCCACTGAGATTTAACTGTTATTAATTACATCCAACCACTTTTCAGGCAACTTTTTCTTAAGATAAAAACTAATTAGAGAAATTTGGAGGTGAAACGGCTTCGTCCCCACCATCCAGAAGAGCTTAAATTTAACTAAGAACAAAGATAGGGAAGACAAAGGTGACTCTTCTCGTTTGAATTGTTTTCAAAATGCCGTGGCTCGCCGTGCGTGAGTATAGAAAAATCATCACTGTTTTGTTCTTAGTGCTTGCTTTTCGATGGTAAAGAAGTGGAAGAAACCTAAGCCCCACCCAAATCTTAGTCCACCCACAGCCACTGCTTCTTCTTTCCTTTCAATTTTTTGTTTGCTACTCTCTAGTAAAAAATCTAATCTTATGCTTTTATATGTGTTGCTAGCGCGGTAAAACCCAAACTAGAATTGATCTAAAACTTGTTCAAAATAACTTTGTTGCTACCGTGCCAGTAATTAGCCCTAAACTCCTCCATTACCTTAGTATAACTGTAACCATTGCATATCTATCTATCTATCTATCTATCTATCTATCTATTTATATACCTATCTATCTATCTACCTATCTATCTATCTATCTATCTATCTATCTATCTATCTATCTATCTGTCTATCTATCTACCTATCTATCTTTCTACCTATCTATCTATCTATCTATCTATCTATCTATCTGTCTATCTATCTATCTATTGTTATTAGTATCAGTGCCTATAGTATAGAGTTTAGACACTTCGTCGTCGCCGGCAGGAGACCCAAGTTCGATTCCCCAGTGGGGAGAAATTTTTATCGAGTATCTCTTGGTCTTTTCGCTGGGATATATTTCGTCCCTCTCATCCCGGGTCGGATCTGTCAGGTAGGGTCGAAGTGCGACTACATAATGATCTAAATTGTGTTGATGAGGGTGTAAAAACACCAACATAAAGAAAACAGAAATGATGATAAAATTATATTAGTCAACCCACACCCATTCTCTTATCTCTATACAAGGACTTGTGCAGTGTTCGTGGTTAAAGTTCTGGGGACGTTTATCATTCATTCATTCATTCATTCATTCATTCATTCATTCATTCATTCATTCATTCATTCATTCATTCATTTATTCATTCATTCATACATACATACATTCATTCATTCATTCTTTCATTTGTGTTGCAGGACTGATTTTGAATTCTCCCTTCCTTTAGAGCAGGATTCCATTCGGTCATCTTGAAAAGCTAACATGATGAAAACGAACTTGATTTTGATGTCGCTTCTGGTGGTGACATTGCTGGCTCTCTCTCTCTGCCATGTCGCTCTGTGGCCGAGTTTCAGCCTCTGGACGGGGACCCCAGTTGGGTGAGGTTCGAGCCCACACCTGGCTTACTGCTGCAGTACCTCACAGACCTGCTCACCATTGGCTGTGAGATTTACGACAACCAGGTTGACTTCACAGTTACAACGGCTGCTGCAACAGATACCACGGCTGCTGCAACAGATACAACGGCTGCTGCAACAGATACCACGGCTGCTGCAACAGATACAACGGCTGCTGCAACACATACCACGGCTGCTGCAACAGATACAACGGCTGCTGCAGCAGAACATGCAGATATTATATCAGGTGTTTACTACAGTGCTTTATCAAGTGCGAATTCTACACCTAATGCGAATGCTACACTAGGTACGAATTCTGCTACAGCTAAGACAGTAGTGTAAACTTGAGCTGATGCTGATGCAAAACAACTGTCTGGTCCTCTCAGCTCTATTATTTTCCTAATACCGGGTGCCCATTGTGAATGGGGTCTGGTCGGGTCGGGTCGGGTTGGATCAGGTCGATCGCCCGACTCGTCGTCTGAAAACAAACGCGTTTGTTTTTTAGGCAACGAGTCGGGCGCGATCGATTTTTGCCACGATAGCCGCTTTGCACCCTCAACCTGGCTAGCAAACCGACCCGACCCGACCCGATCTCCCCTTGGGCACCCCGTATAACGGTCACGGTCGAAATCGTTTGCAATTGTTGGTATATGTTGTTGGAAAGTGATAGTGTTGATAGAGACGGTAAATCCAAACACTTACTTTGCTTTACTTTACTTTACTTACTTTACTTTACTTTACTTTATTTTACTTTACTTTACTTTATTTTACTTTACTTAACTTAACTTTACTTTACTTTATTTTACTTTACTTTACTCTACTTAACTTTACTTTACTTTACGTTACTTTAGCGAAGACAGTAAACCCAAACACTTACTTTACTTCACTTTACTTTACTTTACTTTACTTTACTTTACTTTACTTTACTTTACTTTACTTTACTTTAGCGAAGTGATAGTATTGATAAAACAGTAAACCCAAACACTTACTTTACTTTACTTTACTTTAATTTACTGTACTTTACTTAACTTTACTTTATTTTAGCGAAGTGATAGTGTTGATAAAGACTGCAAACCCAAACGCTTGCTTTACTTTACTTGACTTTACTTTGCTGTATTTTAGGGCGACCACCTAGAGAAAGCCATTCGCTCACGCTCATGTAAGCGCACTGTCTGAGGCAGTGAAATTAAAAGAATCCCCAAATGAAAACCGTTGCGTCCCACATAGATAAAGCTGTCATTGAGGACGCGTCAGTGAGTAGCAGCACTGACGTTTCTCGCGGAATCCAAACTACATTGTTTTCAAGGCCATCCAAAGCTGTCTGTGGCCTTGTTTTCACGTTGTTGTTGTACCAAAGCAGTGCTTCTACTTACGCCAAAAAATGGATGGAGCAAGTGATTCAAACTTGGACACAGATGCGCTCATATCACCAGTGTACGTTAGAACTTTCGTTTGGGACAAACGTAACAAAGTCCACATTGTACGTATTTTGACCGGTAGGATACGAATACACGTACAATGTTATTGAACGCCATACACATTGAGGTTGATGATGATGGTGATGGTGATGATGATGACGATTATAGAACCGTGCACTGTCCCCC